AAAAGCTCTTGCGTACCATATTAAGGTGCTGCGGAGAGCAGTTTTTGCTATTCAGATTCAAGGAAAAGGCGAGAGCAAAAACCCTGGTATTTTGCTTTGGTTGATGGGGCAATGGTCGGGTCGCCCAAACAAAAATTTACAAAAATTTTTAAATATATTTCGATTTTTTTGTTTTTCAAAATTTATCTCGATGCTCATATTAAATATACTTCATTCGGTCAACTGATTGCGCGCTACGAACACATCAACCATCTACTTGCGTTTGCTGACGTTTTTTTGTAGCGTATTACTGTTTTTGCTTGGGGGAGATAGCTCAGTTGGTCATTAGGGGGCGGGGGGATTACTTAACTGATCCTACATTCTTGCTGTTCGATAGTGGAGTTTGCCTTCCTTTTAACCAAAGAAATTAAGTGAAATGAAAAAGAAATCGAAAGTCAAACCGCGAAAAATCAAAATTGAGCGCGAACAACTTTTTAGACTTTTTCCTGAAAAAAAGCACCAAGACATATTATATTGAAGTACTCACTATGTCAATAGCTCTTTTTCCTTCTCCTCGCACTTGCAAAGTTTTACTAATGAAATTTTGTTCACATTATTTGAATGTTACGAAAGTTCGCATGCGAACTATTTAGGCCATGACAAACATTTTTGGTCTTCATAGTTAACCTTGTAAAACCACTCGTTACATCCCTCGTTTTGAAGTATTAATTTATAAAAAAAATGTAGAAAATATATTATAAAGTTTTCATGATATGTGAAAACAGAAACTACAGCATCGCTGGAGTTGATCGTTTAGTTGCTAATCTGAAGTTTGAGTTTAAACAGTTTTGAGGGCTGTTCTCATGACCAAAAGCCTCAAAATTTTCCACTAATCAAAGTCCTTCAATTGTTTCAACACTGATGAGTTTGCAGACGAGTTCAGATATTATTTAGTTTTTATCATTAGTTCTTATATTAATTAGTTCAATTGTGCTTTTTCTGCACAATTGGCGTCAGATTCTTTCTGCACTTCATCCTTCACCTCTTTTTCTCTGCAATGTCTTGTCATCATGCTGAAGACACTTTTACCTAAACTTTCAGCAAGGTGCCTTTCTGGTTTGAACTTGTAAAAATGCAGCAAAATTTCTTACAATTGGCTAAAAGACAGCTGAAACTAGTATATAATTCATGCTAATTTTTAGGCTAGATTTTCTTACTGTTCGGTCCACTTATCGCGCCTGAACAAATTGCTCAATTTGACATCAAAAACTGCTTTTTACCCACTTTTCACCAAAACGGTCAAAAAATCAATTAACTGAATAAGTTTGAATTTAGGCCAAAAAAATGCTCAACGTCACTGATCTGCATTGACTATCAAAAATGTTTGAAAAATGGCTCTCTATGCCTCAGAATCGGATATTTTAATATCAGAAGTTTATAGGACACAAAAGATTAAATATTAGGTAGAGGTAGGTAAGGCGACAGATTTAAAGCCGACAGCCAATAAGCTGAAAATCAACCGAACATTTTGGTCCAAGTCTATTTGGAAAATTATTCTTGTACTTTCCACATAGTATCCACGAGTGCCATTTATTTACTGAATGCGAGATGGTATACACAATTCATAAACAAAGAGCTTTATAGTCAGCCATAAAAACAAGTTTTGAGAAGTTATACACGGACAAAAAATGCGAAATTAGCATCGAGAGAAAACTTACCAAGCGGTAACAAAACAGAAACTCTTCGACCCAACAAAATCAAAAAAGATTCAAAATTACAAACATAGCTAAAACTAAAACCTACTACAATCAACAATTGGAAAACATAACCAATCAACTTTCGAATTTCAAAGAAAAAAATAGATGCCTTTTAAGCTCTTTGAATCTCTAGAGCGATTTATGATTGCCGCTTTTTTGATAACATTAACCAAACTTGGGAAAACTGGATCAACAGGTAAAGTTTTGGAGAGTGCTATTTACGTCACTTTCAGCAGATGAATTTCAATTGAACTCAAAAAGTGCATATATACCTAAGTGCATTCATAAATGCATCAATATGTATGAATTCACATCTGTAGTTATTAGAGACTTTTATGCACATTTTAAGACTTTTCCTGGAAAAAAATGAGCAAGACCTATATTAGAGTCTTCACTACATTCAACACTCTTAAAAATTCAGACTCAAATTTAATTCGCTCATCAAAAGGCGCAAAATGAGGCCACAAATATTTAAACTGGGCCAAAACATATTACAACCAAAAAAGTAACAACTGACAAATCGAAAAAAAATGAAATTTAATAAATCGAATCAACTAAAACTACAACCTATATAACAAAAAAATTCGATTGTAACGGATATTTAAAATGCTGCGAATAGAAAATGAGACGTTAAAAACAAAATGGAAAAAAAGTACTTTGGAGAAAAAAATATAGAACAACAGGGCTATTAGTTTTACAAACTAAAAGAGTAAGCCATTAACACTAGCATCTACGATGGAAATTGCTGACAGAACAAAAATTCCCCCATGTAGCAACTAAGACGACAAAACGAAAGCCGACAAACGAAAGTACGAAAATTCATTTTTTTCATGAAAAGTTTTCAATTACATGCATACTGAAAAAAAAGTCCGACCGGGACTCGAACCCCAGACTTTAGGGTATAAGGGCAACCAGGTTAACCCTAGGCCAAAATTGGCACAAAGTCTCGAAGTTGCTACGGTTCACTAAAAAGCACTTCACAATTTCTTACAGATTTGCAAGTGTAAAATTTTCAGTTGCAGCGTTTCCAACTGCGAGGATCAGGAGTGGAATGAGCCCAGTAGAGGAGTCATTGAACAAAGTTTACGGGAAACAGTCTTGTACATGATTTCAATACGCTTACTGCTGCCAAGGTTTAAAAAAAAACCTGAAAAAACAATTAATTGGTCGTCCATAAAAAAAGAGTGTGCAAAATGGGATTCCAAAACCTGAGGTGCCAGTTTTTTCTAATGGATATGCACGCGATAAAAACGACTATTTGGTCAAAACTAATCAACGGAGCACAAAATGTCATTTTTCTCAAAAAGAAACTGCCAGAAGCTCAGAAATGTTATGCAAAATTGGTCATCTTTTGTGTCACTACTAAATTCGAAAAACCAAATGGTTATTGTCTAAATATAATATTGAAAATACCGATTAAACTACCATAGCAAAACTATCAATTTCCTGTTCAAAAAGTTTCTGACCAAATTTCACTTATTGAAACATTTCAGTAACTAAAAACGTTTTTTTTTTGGTATGAGGGCGCGCGGAAGTAGGCGACAATGTAACTATCATGAATTTAGTTTTTAAAAGCTTAATTAATGTGCAAACATTTTTTCTTTCAAAATATTTTTTTCCTTACGCAGACAACTTCCGGCCGTGAAGACTACATCATATCTTCGCGTTGAATTGGTAGTTCTTCTCACTAACCAAAATGATTCCATATTTTACCCTCGATAATTTTTGTTGCAGCTTCAATCACTGGCAATTAATTTTAAAAAAAAACATTATGGCAGCTTGAATCAAGGCTGAAATGGCTACTTTTTGATAGTAAACTTTTGTTTTCCATAAACTAAGGATCTTTTAATTCGCATGAGACGTTATGGCGAGACAATTTCAGTACATGGGATATTTTGGAGTGGTATATTTTATCATGAGATATGTCGGTCTGGTATCTTTTTACTGAAGTCGTCATTCAGCCCCAAATAATTTACGTTTTTTTTCACACTAACTATCCTAAGTGAGTTTTCGAACGATGGTGATGGTTCCATAACAATCAATGTTCCAAATCCCTGTTTGATTTTGTCGAAAGAGCTGGCTCATAAATGCAGTTCCGTCTACTGCATCCAGAAAATGCCCTTCTGGTTTGGTTCCAATTGAGTCCAATTGCTTTTTTTTTTCAGTCAGTTCATAATTAATTTTGAGCATCTTTTCATAACTAACATGGTCATTAAGAGATGCTCTTCGTAACTAACAAAGCGACTAGGCTAGTTGTGCGATTGAGCAAAATTTTTGTTCTTTAAAGTATAGCTAAGTTAATATCATTTATCCACGGCGGAATAAAACAACATACAAGCTATTCAGCTCATAGCGAGCAACCTCTCTGCACTTTATTAATACATGCAATTTTTCGTTCATATTCTTTTTTTTCCAGCTCGAACTATCTGAAATTCAATTTTGTGGAATTTGTTTAAGGAAGTCTTTTCTCTAAAAACAACTTTAAGTGTTTTACAAACCTTATGCTAGGTCCATTTTAGAAAACGGTCTAGTTGTGTATGGAAAAACGTATATATTTAACTTTAAAAACGGTTTTTTCAGGGGCAAAAATGAAAAAATAGCGGTCTCATGAAAACACCACTTTCTTACTGTTCATACACTTTATACGTCCGAGTTAGCAAAAAAACTGTTTGCGCAGCTGAAAAAAATTGACAAAACAATTTGCTCTAACGTATTAGAACCTTCACACTGACGTTTTACCCGAGCATCTTCTAAAGGTTTATTGTTATCCGAAAAAAAAAACAGAACAAATACAGCTGCCAGATCAATAACAAATACGCTCAGTCTTTTCTTTAATTTTTTGCTCTGGTAAATGATCTGGTAATTTTTTTCATAAAAATAGTGGACAATAAAAATTTTCTAAAATGGTTTCAAAGCTTTAAGTTTGTTTATACCTCACAACAAGGATATTCATAATTTCCTGTTTTAGACATTTCTCACCCTACTTTACATGATCCACTTTAATTTAACTTTCATCAGGTTTACCACTCAATGAGCTGAAATGCTCTTCGATAATCCCTCTAGGCATTCTGTAAATTTTGTCTTCAAGAATAAACATTTTTAGCCAATTTATTTAACCAAAGAAAATTCTACCAACTTCCTATTAATTGGAACCTAAACGCCGCATTGTTATTTTTCAGATTTACCAAAGAAAACCAATAATAAAGTAAAACTAAATTATTACGATTTGAATAAATTTATTGAACAACATAACAAAAACCAAACAGTCAATTTCAATCAGTTAATATATTATACAAAATAAGAAAAGTTTCAAATAGATCCACAATGTTTATATCGAATCATATATCGCATTTAATACGCTTCTGATCATATTTCAGTCTCATTTCTTTTTCTGCAAATATTTCTTTGAGTTCTCTTTCAGAAACAATAAATCTCTTTTATCAACATGATACTCTTCCAAAACTGATGAATAAAAGTCAGAGTCCGTACCGTGTGTTATAGCTATGAGCTTCAAAGCCTTCTCAAAATACTCGACGGATTTGTCCAGTTGCTCTAGACAAGAAAAAACCTTAGCAACTCGAAAGCACTGCAAACTTTTGATAGGATGATGACCCGGAAAGAAACATTCCAAATTTTTCAACAGTCGCAATTCTATGGGCAAAACTTCTTTGAACGATTTTTCGTATAAATACTCTTCACATTTCAGAAGCAAATTGTGCATCTTTAAATTCGTATCAGGGTAAACATTTTCTAAACATGCCAGTTTCGACAAAAGTTTTTTAATATCTTTACACGAAGTCGCATCTGGAAAATCTAACGTTTCAACATTCGAACCGCAATCAGGACATTTAATTAAGTTCGAGTCAATAATTGCAGCACAATTTTTACTATTTTGACACTTGACTTCTCTGAATTTTTGTTCGCGCACTTCACTTGTACATTCGGTGCATTGACACGTGAAAAAGTACTGTTTTTTCAACGAATCTTGTCGTTCATGCTTGAAGAATAGTTGATCAGTGTATGACACAAAAACTTCTTCTCCGATTTCGATTGGCTTCAGAGTTCTGATCTGCAACAGTTTTCCTCTGAAGGCAAAGAAAGCATTGGGTTCACAAGAATGGTTGATTGAAGCCGCTTCTGGATATCTAATACAAAAGAACTGGATTAAGCTGAGTCATTGGTTTGTTTGGTCTGCAAAAAAAAACTGAAAAAAAAATATATATATATATTTTTGTCGTACTGATGACTCCATGAACCTTTGGTTTGAAATAAATTGCATTAAGCCTTCAGAATTAGATCCCTTCAAGAAACACATTGAATTCGATTGGTTGGAAAAAGTAAAAATAACCCGCTGAAATTTGGAAAACTCAATAAACAAGTCACCGAAAAAAATGGACTTTTTGAACATTTTCTAACTTTCGAAAAAAATACATCGAACGAAAGCTCTTTGAATTTGAGTAATACAGATGCGGAGTGGAGCTTTGCAACACTTGCAAAACAACACAAACATAAGATTGTAAGCTAGCTGACAGAAAATGAGACGATAAACACTATGTCGAAGAAATTAGTTAGAAGAAATTCGGAACAAAACTACATGTACAAACTTTTCGCGCTTGTCTCAAATGATGGTATATTGAAAGAAACCATGACAAAAAACACAAGCACCGCCGTTAAAAAGTATTTGAAACCATTTACCGAGCGGCAACTAAGCCAAAAAAATTGGGTAGACGCCACTTGAGCCAAAAATAAAATGCTTTCTGAGCTATGAAATGTTGAAATTCGAAGGTTTTATGCCAACTTTTTCCTGAAACACACAAACGCATTATAACCTTTCTTCCCCTTCAAGCGACACAAAAAATGAAGTAGATAAGTCAAAACTGCATGAATCGAACCAATTTAAGCAAAAATAAAGGTGATTAACAAAACAGTTTGTTACCTTAAAATTACGGAGCGACTATCATTTATAAATAAAATTGCTTAAATCAGAAGAAAAAAACACATGCTTTCGCTTTGGAAAACAAGCGCGCAAAAAATGAGAAGACAAACGATAGCCCGAAAACTCTAGTAATCCTTAAAAAAATCACTTTCCACGCAATTTTAAAAAGCAAGGTCGGACCAAGTGAGAAGAGACCTGAAAAATGTTTGGGTTCCATAATGAGGCAAGTTTAATTTTTCTAGATTCGTAAGAAAAACTGTTGAAGAATATTTTCCTGATTACGAGTACACTTGCTGTGGTAAGTTAAAAAAACTGTTAAAAAGATGGACGCGGATCTTCGAGCTTCTTCTGGTTCAAGAATATATTCAAGATATAAAACAACAATGCTGCAATTCGCAAATTTTTCTGAAGAAATGTAAAATTTAAAGTCTTCATTAGCAACATTTAAACAAAAGTCTTCATTTTCGAAAAGCAACATTTAAACTCTAGCGAGAACACGACAAAAATCAGCTCTATAAATTGCAATAAGAGAAAGTAGAAATACACCTCGAATTAGCGTTAAAAAAATCGGCTAGGTTTCGGATTCGAAGTGCAACCTACGGCGACCTAGAGAATATAAATCTCCCGCATTAACCCTTCAGCCACGGACGCTTAATGAATCACAAACACTAACCTCAAATAAAGCAGAGAACAGATGCTACAAAAATTCCAATGCTACCGATCATGATTACAAAGACAGTGCCACCAAATAATGAACTTTTTTGCGAGTTAGGTCAAAAAGCTTGCTGGTGTAAAAAACGGATAAGCTAAACACAGAAGTCAAACGGAGCTTCCTTAAACTATACAACAGCGATTAACTATACAACTTCCTTAAACTATACAACACTTGCGATGGAAAAAAGAATAACTAGCACTACAAGCAGATGAACCGACAAATGAAGAAAAATTATTTCATTAAATATGTATAAAAGAACAAAAAAATTGAAACCTTGGAACCTAATTAACTACAATTTTAGAACACTTATAAAACCTGATTATGCTAGAAAAACACCAAAAATCAAAGCTCGGATTCAAAATCGGTGATCATTTTCAGTTACAAAACAGTGCAGATATAACAATCTTATAAAAATCGACTAGGTGTCCATAGCATTTTTACAAAAACGTGAAGCGATTTCTTAAGACAGCATCCTTTGTATTAGACATTTTTTCATAAGATCAAATAACCATTGATGCAATCTCAAAAACATGAAAAATGTTTAGACAATAGGATAAGTTTCTTAAAACAATGAATGGCAGAATACTATGCAAAAAAATTACAGGTAAAACCTTGGCAAATGAGTCGAAACATTTCTGAAATTTCAAGCAAGACATTGCCAAAGAGTTCACACATTATCAAAACAAAAGAAAGTTCTCGGCAATTACACCAGCAAAACTCAGGTAGGAAAATTTAGAAACACTTAAAGACTACAAATTTCCGTAAAAAATGATTTTCGTATAAAAATTATTCCAGAACACTATTTATGCTGTGCAAAAATTTATATTCATTTTCGTTAAAATGAATAAAACCGAGAACAAATCGAGGTCTATTGTGACACTGCTGTTCGAAATCTGTATTAAATTAATGTGGTGGACAATGAACAATTTAACTTACAAGGCATGCCCGATTGGATCATTTGTCTCAGTTACCACTGTAATAGCATTCACGCCTACTTGATTTATCATTTCCAATAAACACTTTGAAGTTTTAAAAACCAACTTCAGACTGTTTTCACCGTGCACAAGGGTCAGAATCTCAACAACGCTCATATAATCCAGTTTATCGTTCTCTGTCATATCGGAGAGGTGACAACAGAGATTAACAAATTCAGATTTCACAAATTTTGTTGTAATTAGAGTCGTAATACATCTACTAATGAGACGAATCTTCGGAAACGAAGCAGTTTTCGGCAAATACTGGCACTCATTTTTGTGTAGAGTCCAGTCGTCTTTTTGGCATTGTGTACCACAATAATGGGCAACGCGACAGCCAGAACATCTCTTAGAGACTTTCAAGCGGTTCAAACACCCTGAACAGTAAAGAGAAAGGCAATTCGCCAAGAGCACGGCAGCACATGGCTGACAACATTTAAGTTCTTCGCCAAACTTGAAATTTCGTGGAGCCGATAACTGTTTCTGGTTCATCATAATTTTCTTAAATAAAACATTTTTTGACTTTTACCAAAAACTATTACAATTGTAGTTATAATCAAAGCGTCAAATGCATCCTATGTAACATTCGCCCAGAAATTACAGAGCGACGGAAGACAGAAAGTTGCTATTGACAACAGGCTGAGGTCAGTTACATTCATTCTATGCGTTTTTCAGCGTCTCGACCTAACCAATTGATTTTTGGTTTATTTAAGGACTAACCGTCGTGTCAGAGCTTTTAGGTTATCAGCCAAACGAATTTTACATAGTTTTCGTCTATATGAAAATAACCAGATACCTGAGTCTGGGATCCTCAGACAACGTGAAGAAATTTTTGCTAAAAAGTAAATTTCAAACGTTTTCGCAACTATGTGCATCGTCAGGATTTTTACAATAAACTACTCTAAATGACGATAAAGCATCAATTTACAAATGTTATTTACAATAAATCACATACAATTTGGTTCTAAACCATCATGATAAAAAATTAGCCAATCACAGTTGACCTCTAAATTACTATTAAGATTAAAATACTTTAAACCTCTAAAATTAATTAAACATTTTAAAATTAATTTGTCTGGAAGCAGGCATTTCGGGACCCGACATTTTTCAAACCCGAAACCCGATTACCCAATAAGCTAAAACCCGAACCCGACGGTTTCTTCAAAACCGAACCCGAACCCGACATTCATTTCAAACCCGGCCCGAAACCCGAAAAAAATCTCAAAACCCGATTACCCGACCCGATACCCGACATGCCCGATTTTCAGGTAGATTAAATGGTATGAACGTTGACGCAATAAATTTGATGCGTTTTTAGAGTGTAACTTTCTCTTACAGTGAACAATAAAAATAGCTGTAAAAACAATATTTATGCAATAAATGTGTGTTAAAATGGGAATGTATATAGAAAACAAAAAAGTTCAACGGAAATACAAAGCTGTATTATTATGAAATGGAAACGTACAAGTACGTATTAAACGCATTCCTCGGTGAGTTTCAAGAACACGTTGCGTGTAAAATTCTCCGTCTTAAGTCGCGATTGAATATCCTTCTTCAAGTACTTTGCATAACTGAACGCTCTCTCAATGTCAGACGTATTGCTCTTTTTACATGAAAATACACTTTTGCAACGAACGCACTTCCGCGCTTCTGTTTTCTTCTTGTCAATGAAACCGCACAGGAACTTGTCTTTCAACTTTGGATTTTTGGTTTCAAATATCCGCCACTCTTCATTCATCGTACAATGCAATCGCGTTCAGAAATGAAATAGAAATAAAAATTAAAAAAGTAAAAAACCTCAAACAAAAGAAAAATTGGGAAAGTTTTTGTCGAAACCGAAAACAGCAAACAAAAGTCGGGTTTTAGAAATCCGACATAATTGAATACCCGAACCCGAACCCGAACCCGAACCCGAACCCGAAAATTTGTTGAACCCGAAACCCGACCCGAAACCCGAAATTTGTCTCAAAACCCGAAAACCCGACCCGATACCCGAAAACCCGAACCCGAACCCGAAATGCCTGTCTGGAAGTTTCTGAGTCATAATTTCGATTTAGACATGTACGTTTTGAATAAAAAACCAAAAATATTTTGGGACTAAATTTTCAGTGTTAACTCCCTGCTCCTAAACTCATCGCGCGTGTTCAAGCCCGGTTTCTCTTTCCTGATATGTATTGCCTCTAGTGTTAGCAATTTTGTTTGGTTGTTTGACCTATCTATAATTTCCCAACTAAGATCTGCGCTATAAATTTTTTTTCCCTGTGTTAAGGGTGTTAATGCTGTGGAACAGGGAGCTAGCTGCTACAATATGAAACATTTCGGTAACTCAAATAAAAATCGGCCATTTTTTACGTATCGATAAAAAAAACACTATAAAAATTCTCATTACATTGATGAAAATCATTAAAAATTTTTATACTGGCCCTTTGATGGGAAAACAGCTGGAATTTCAAGCTCTTCGCTTTTTGGTTTATCACGAACTTACAAGTAAAATTGAAGAAATTTTCGCTAAAAAGTAAATTTCAAACGTTTTCGCAACTATGTGCATCGTCAGGATTTTTACAATAAACTACTCTAAATGACGATAAAACATCAATTTACAAATAATATTTACAATAAATCACATACAATTTGGTTCTAAACCATCATGATAAAAAATTAGCCAATCACAGTTAAGCTCTAAATTACTATTAAGATTAAAATACTTTTAACCTCTAAAATTAATTAAACATTTTAAAATTAATTTGTCTGGAAGTTTCTGAGTCATAATTTCGATTTAGACATGTACGTTTTGAATAAAAAACCAAAAATATTTTGGGACTAAAATTTCAGTAATTTAGAGGTCAACTGTGATTGGCTAATTTTTTATCATGATGGTTTAGAACCAAATTGTATGTGATTTATTGTAAATATCAGACAACGTGATTACTACCAAAAACAGGACTAAAAACCACAACAATCGATCTTTTTAGTGACAAATATACATTGGATACAGGACAAAAAGTCTACAAAACAGTCACAGGACGAAAAAACTACAAAACAATGACAGGACAAAAAACGTCTCCAAAACAGTTGCTTATCGCTTTTTATTTGTCTTTATGGAAAATTTCCAAATTCAAAAATACAGTTCAATTGTTTAGATTTGTTATAACTAAAAAATTATCTTTTTCGAGTTTTAATATCAACGAACCCAGAAATTACCCGCCATTTTTTATAACTTCTATAAATTCCCATTACATGTAAATCGAAACAAAGTTGATAAAAATCTTGAAAAACTATTAACATTTTGAATCAAATCAAAAGAGTTGACTTGTAGACGTTTTTTGTCCTGTCATTGTTTCTTCTTCTTCTGTGAAAACCTTGACTATCTACCATCACATGTTGCCTTTTATTTGCTTCGCCATTGTTTCGCTATGCCTAAGTTGATGTACTTGTTTAGAACTGCTCCAACATTCTCATTCCCCGACATAGTGCAACAAATAAACTCTGACATCAGACAGGCGGTACAGAAAATCAGCAATGTCCTCATTAAGGATCGTGAATGGAATCAAGCATCTTTAACCTGTAAAATGGGTGGCCTAGGCATCCAATCACCGTGTGATTTGTCCAGCTCCGCCTATTTAGCGTCTGTTTTTGCCACGAATAACGCTGTTGCACGGCTGACTTCAACAGACTCTCCCTCTGTCTTTCTAAACAAAACTTTAGACCTTTGGAAGGCCAAGACCGGTCTTTCCGACGCGTTTGTTAACACCCCACCACACCAGCAAAAGTTGTGGTACAACCCAGTTTTGCAACAGAAGAAAATTATATTATCCGCCAATTACAACTCTGACACGGATGTCGCAAGACTAAAAGGGTGCTCAGCCCCTGGAGCAGGTGACTGGCTTGCAGCCCTTCCGTCAGACAGCCTGGGTCTTCTGCTTACTGATGAGGCTTTCCGCATTGCCGTCGGACTCCACTTAGGTGCCCCAGTTCTCACAACATGCACTTGTGCATGTGGCACCAGCTGCGATAAATTCGGCAATCACCCTCTGGTTTGACCTAAAATTAAGAGCAGGTTTGTCAGACATCAACTTGGTAATAACATAATTAGAGATGCCTTCACGTCAGCTGGTGTACCATCAAAACTGGAACCAGTTGGGATGCTGCGAGACGACGGTAAGAGGCCCGATGGAGCAACGCTAGTACCGTGGATAAACGGAGCTGTTTTGGCCTGGGACTTTACCTGCGTGAGCCGGTTAGCGGCATCTAACGTCGCCACCGGGCTCCAAGACGGTCCATCGGTTGCCAACCAAGCAGAGGTGCGTAAGCGGAACCACTACTCAAACCTGCCGAGATCGTGTTTATTTGAACCAGTTGCAGTGGAGAACCTCGTAGGTATCGGGGAAGACTCGTACAAAACTCTAGCAGCAATCGCTAAGAGAATTGCCCTGGCGACGGGAGAAAAGAGATCGTTCGCCTTCCTAAAACAGCGTATCGGCATCGCCGTCCAACGGGGAAATGCTGCATGCGTTGCCGAGGCGCTCGAAATATCAAACTTCAACTCTTAATTTTTATTTTGTTTATACAAACGCTTTTTATAACATTGGTAATTTACCTTTTTACTATTCTTCTTCTTCTTCTTGTAAAACAAAATCTGAGACATAAAACATCCTGAACTACCTAATTACAAATGACTTAAAATATTCTTAATACTCGAACTACTACCTAAAGTTTCACACAATTTAAATTTCTAGCGAACAGTCGGTTTTTTAGATAGATAGATAGACAAAAACTTTAATAATCTTTTATGGGCTAAATCAAAAAACAAAATGTAACACTTGTATATTATATTATCTCGTGTCGAGTTGCGTGTTCTTATTGAAGAAACGTAACCCGTATCGATTTTAATTGAAAAGGATTTAAACACTTGTCATCTTCTTTTATCATTATCACTTCCATATCTAAAAAATTCCAAGGATTTTGACTGGAATACACGATGAAGGGACTCATGACTGTAACCTCGGTTACTATGATACTTTTGACCTTCTGATTACATTAAAAAAAAATTGAGTTTATATGTTACATGTTCAATTAATGTTCTTCTTTTGAACGCCGTTGACCTCGGAAACTTCAGAAATTTTTAAAATTTTTCGATACAATTCAGCACGAGCTCTACAAAGATGTCATTGAAAACAACATTTTTTACATACATCTTGTTCTTATAATTGTTATTACATTTATCGAAAACTTGACTGCATCAACCAAGCAGGAATAAGAAGGTAAAAAAGCTTCCGATCTAGATTTCAAAAATATGTGACATTCGACTAGATTGGCGCCAAAACGCATGGCAATATCGAAACTTTATAAGAGCAGCCGTGAGAAAATTGGCAGTTTCGATGGATTAACAGTGCTAATCGTGCGATTTGACGAACTGAGAGAGGTAAATTTGAAGTGACGAAGTATTTTTTAAAAATTCCTTTGAAAATAAAGACGCGCCACGGCCTTGAGGTTTCGC